CTGCCCCTGAGCTTCTGGACTGTACCCAGTTCTGTATACATAAATAAAACCTTAAAGAAAAGATTGTCTTCTTAGGGAGTCAAAAATATCAGTGCCTACACAGTATGATAGGGTGGAGGAGCCTTCTTAGGATCACTATCTTGTAACATTGCCACAAAGTCTTAGAATCCAAACCCAGAACTCCCAGGATAGCCTTCTGAAGATTGTGTGCTTGGAAACCAAAGACTGTTTCTGGAATGACACCAAGCCCCATATAATCCATTCCTTTGTATTTCTAAAAATTGTATTAATAGCATGTTTATTCTTTTGGCTTCCTTTGTAGCACTTACCAGCAGACTTCCAGTACAGGTGCCAACAGTTTTTTTTTAATTTATGGGAGGAGAGCTTAAACTGGGAACTTCTGAACATTAACTATACAGATAACTGGAAAATATCATTCTACAGTAGGAATATAACATGTGAGTCCCTGCAGAGTGAGGGAGTGATTTCAGTCCACAAGAGATTCTTTGAGAAGCAATATACAAGTTTATAAAGGGTAGAAATTACTCTTGATTGATGAAAATTTAATAGCATCATTAATGAAAAGTATATTATAGCAAACATTATGTTATACATGTATAAGGTCTGTACAATTACTATTTTCATTTGTCTCCAAGAATGATATAATAAAAGTGACATTTTTTTGAAATATGAATTAAATTCAAGTGAATGTTTCCCTTATGTGCCTGATGATTGCTTTGTTGTTCCTGTTCCTCATCTTTGATTACACATTAAGGGACAATTCCATTGCCAACACTGTGCTCAGATTCTCTTGAGATCACCTACCCCCAAACAAGTGACCTCTTTCTCCCTGTATCATCCTGTAGCACTTTTATTTATTATTTTTTTTACTTTCTCTCATACCACTTGCCACTTTCTATCCTTTACAAGTTCATATCAACTACTTTTGCTATCCTCCTTGGAACAGATCTAATGACTGAGTCATCTTTTTAGCCTCAAGATCTTTTACATAAGTGTTTATAATGATTTATTGAATGAAAGTGTTGTGGACAAGCCAGTATTCCTGTATGTATTTGTTATTCTCTTTTTGAAAGTATTTATTTATTTATTTATTTATATGTAGAAGAACTGGGGTATAGGCCAGAGGTGCAGGGGTTGAGAAGATTCACCAGAGACAGATGGTGGAGCAGAATAGTTGGATCGACTGAAATACACTGCAGAGGGCAAGACCAGGGAGATCTGCTGCACCATTAGGGCTAACTCCTGACTGGAGATAGAACTTGTGCAGCAGTGGCAGAGAATAACTTCATAGCACTGAGAATTTAAGCCCTGAGCCACCAGGGAGGCCCTATTCTCCTTTCTTCTCTTTCCAACTTCTCTCTTGCTGTTATGTGTACAGATCACAAGTACTGGGTGTTCAGCTAACTCTTGGCCAGACATGGTAAGATTCAGTAAGTAGATGGTACTCTGTAACGGCCTGTTGGAATGATGCAAGGAAGAGGCTGACATAGAGTTTCAGGGATATTTTCTTTAAAGATTTATTTATTTATGCATACAGAACTGGAGTACAGGCAAGAGGTACAGGGGCAGTGAGAGGATTCACCAGAGACAAAGTGGGGGGCAGAACAGGCAGATTGATGAAGTATACCACTGAGGGGAGCAGCAGGTAGGTCAGGAGAGGTCTGCTGTGCCATGTGGGTCATCTCCAGGGTGAGGATCAAACTCACAGTTGCAGCTAGTTTGCGCCACCAGAGAGGGCCTACCAGGTGTATTTTCTCCCCCCCCCTCTAAATTATACTTTTTTAAAATTTATTTTTAATAATATAATAGTTTATTTTTATATCATCATTCTGTGCTTTTTCCCATCTCAGTTGCGATCCCTGTGGGCTTCCCAACACCAAGTAACCCAAGTGCCATCATCAGAGTCCAGTGCACTTCCCTCCCCGTACTGTTTTTGATCCCATTCCCATTCCACCCCAGTAAGATGTCTCTGGTATATAGTTGTTCATTATTATTATTTTCTCTTCTGGTCCTTTATATTCCTGCTATGAGTGAAACCATCTTGTATTTTTCCTTTTCTTTCTGGCTTATTTCACTAGGTATGATCCCTTCTAGCTCCATCCATGTTGCTGCAAAAGGCATGTATTTATTTTTTTGGTTGCTGAGTAATATTCCATTGTGTATATGTACTACATCTTTTTAATCCAGTCATCCACTTTTGGGCATTTGGGTTGTTTCCATGGCTTACCAATTGTAAATAAAACAGCAGTAAACTTGGGGGTGCAGGTTTCTTTTTGAATCAGTATTTTTGTGTCTTTTGGGTAGATAGTTAGGAGAGGGATTGCTGGGTCATATGGAAGCTTCATTTTTAGCAGTTTGAAAAACCTCCAAACAGTTTTCCATAGTGTTTGTACTAGTTTGCAGTCCCACCAGCAGTGCAGGAGAGTTCCTTTTTCTCCACATCTTCGCCAGCATTTGTTGTTTTGAGGTATGCCATTCTCACTCCACCAGGTATATTTTCAATCCCCAGGTGCTTCATGTCCTGGGGCTCTTCTTCAAGACTTCTTTCCTGAGGCTCCAATGAACTGTATAGGAAAGTACTTTGAAACAGATTTAACCTCTGCCAATACTAATTTATTCTGCCCTACTAATTTACCCATACATTTTTTCTCTAAATACAGAACAAATTTTTATAAAAATTACATATGTAAATCAAAGGTACATACTCTAGTGTAAAGTTGATTTTTAAAAAATATTTGTTTATTTATGCATACAGAACTGAGGTATAGGCCAGAGGGCAGGGGATTCACCAGAGACAGAGAGGGGAGGAGGAGAGGCAGATCAACTAAGTACAGTGCTGAGGGGAACAACAGCAGAGACAGGAGAGGTCTGCTGTGCCATGTGGGTCAGCTCCCTGACTGGGGATCAAATTCACGCTGAAGAAGCTGCAGCTAGCTTCTTAATACTGTGCTTTAACCCATTGCACCACCAAGGAGAGCTTTGTAGTTCATTTTTTATTAAGGTATTAGTTTACATGATATCTAAAAATGTGCACTATTGAGCCAAGTTGTGTACTATAATTATTTCCATTATTTGTAGAGCTGTCTGTTTTCTCTGGTTAAAAACTATCATTTTTCATTTGCTTAACTTCTCTATGTGTTATTTAAATATTCCAGTCGATGTGTTAACAGCCTCTCAATATCATGGTTAGTAGTATCAGAATAAACTGCTACAAATAAGCAAATTTTCTAAGTGTTTAAAGAAATTATGCTGTCATCTACCCAGCTTTCCATCCTCGGGAGATTTTGGGGAGCTCCAAGTTGTAACAGGGTGGTCCTCAGGAAAAGGGGAGGTTCTAGTTCCCTACCCCTCCCAAAGGAGGATGGAGGTGAGCAGGGAGAACAATCTGGAGAGATTTGAGGAGGAAGGAAGCAGTTTGGAGAACCAGAAGGAGAATTGAGGGAGCCACGTGGAGCAGAGATAGGTGAAGAAGGGACTCTTATTTGTTGGTCCTGGACTGGTTAAAACAAACATAGGTGAGATACATGTGGGGAGGGTCACTATGGCAGTGTTTATCTTGATTTTGATTTGGGTTTTGTCCTTATTTCTGACCCTTTCTATGGGTCCCGGCCAGAAGGTGTGTTAAACTTTTTTTCTTTTTTAAAGATTTTTATTTATTTATGCATACAGAAATGGGTTTCAAGCCAGAAGCACAGGGGTGGTGAGTGGGGAGCAGAGCAGGCACATCAAGGAAGTACACTGCTGAGGGGGGCAGTGGAGGGCCAGGAGAGGTCTGCCATGCGGATCACCTCTGGAGCTGGGGTTTGAACTCGCACTTGAAGCAGCTAGGGCTAGCTTGCAGTGCTGCGTCCTTATCCGTTGGGCCACCAGGGAAGGCACAGGTGTGTTAAACTTTCAGCGGACTTCTAGGCTTTGCTTTGGGCCAATCCCTTTTGGGTGGACTTTTACCCACCAGGGGATGGGTAACTTTGGGTGTCTGATTTAGAAACATTCTTTGTCTCTTCTCTATTGCACACTAATTGTATTAAAGTTCCTTTCCATTAAGGATCTATATGTTTTGTCTTGACGCAGCAGATGGCAGAACCTATTTAAAGCGGGCAATTTTGGGGGGTTCAGGACTGCCTCTCCCTGCCCTCTAACAAAGTCACTTAGAGCTTTCCTGACTCTCACCTGATCCTTTCCACCTGGGCCGCACCGGCTATTATCCACAATTCACAGGTGAAGAACCTTACAGTCAAGGTAATTGACCAGCTCTAGATAAGTCAGAAACTGAGGGCTTAGAGGAGAAGAGCAGACGGTTGTTTCTAGACTCACGATGCCCCTAAATTCCCTTCTAGCTACCCAGGCCGCCTTCCGTGGCCTGTCCCGCCTCCAGGTCCCGCTCACCTCAACTGGTCCCGCCCCTTTAAAACCAGCGACCACAGGTCGTGGCAGCTCAGCGCTTCCGCTTCCGGTAGCGGCTGCGCTTGGTGTGGCGATGGCTGCGGCAGGCAGTGACCCGCGGGCGGGCGACGTGGAGGAGGACGCCTCTCAGCTCATCTTTCCCAAAGGTAGGCCGGGGCAGCCCCACCGTTCCCGGTGTCGCAGCCGACTGGCATTGCAGTCACCTTGCCCACACGCTGGCCGGGGTCAGCGGTGGCGCGGCGAGGGCCATGTTGTGTAAGTGCCTCGGGGAGGGCCACCTGGAGGGCGCCTCGCCCCGCGCTGTCGCTGGCGGCCCTCAGCCCTCTGTACCTGGAGCTTGTTTGTAGCAGACAGGTCGCGAGGTGTTGGAGGGATGGCAATGCTCAAAGCCGGATTTTAATTCAGTGGGCGCGCCTTCGCTGAACGCCGATTTGTACTGAGGAGACCGGCTGGGCATTTGAAAGGGAGGGTGAGGAGGCAGGAACGATGAGCGTGTTCACCAGAGTCCGGAGGCGGGCGAGGGGTCTCGCTAGTGGGAAGCCGTTTGAGCTTGTTAACTGGCCCTTCTGGAAGGTAGGCCTCCTTCCCCCCATCAGCCCGTCCGCGCACTTGAAGTCAAAAAACAAATCTGAGGTTCGTGCTGTGTTGGGAGTCCTTATGGCGAAAGTCGGGGACCTAGCCCAGGGGTGGGGGAGAAGAGGGCTCGAGGGGCTGTGACCTAAGGAGATGGAAGCTCTTTGTTACCTGGCCCAGGAAGCAAGAGTGCTTTACTCTGATGGTGGTGCACGCAAGGTGTAAGTCATTTTAGTTTCTCCTCGCAATTGTTTCGTCTCCCTCATGTATAATTATAAACATAAATTCAAATTTGCGAATGCTTCCTACTCCAGAGCAACTCACAAATAAAAACCAGCTTGTGATGTTCAGAACATATGCTACCAAGGGGATGTAAGGGACAAAATGATTTTCCCAATGTTAACGTTTTTTGTAAATGTTATTCTGAAAATACAGAAAAAAGGCTCCCGTATGTTATGGAAAGTAGTGATAGGTTTCACTTTCAAATCCTTTTTTTTTTTTTTAAAGATTTACTTATTTTTGCATACAAGAACTGTGGTACAGGCCAGAGGGGTGTGTGTGTGTGTGTCTGTGTGTGTAAGGAGAGAGAGAGGATTCACCAGGGACAGCTGGGGAGAACAGGCTGATTGACTGAAATACACTGCTGAGGGGTGAGGGGAGCAGCGGCAAAAAAGAGGTTTGGCAGGACATGCCGGTCACCTCCCTGAAGTGGGGGGAATTGAACCAGAGCTTCAGAGGCTGCAGATAGCTTCAGAGTGCCAATGTTTTGACTGTTGTGCCACCAGGGAGGGCCTTCAAATCTGTTTTTTTTTTTTTTTTTTAAAGATTGTTTGTACCTCTTCTTAATGGCCAACAGGACTTTTCTTTATTTTTCCTAGAGAAAGGAGAGAAAGGTGGGGCCAGGATTATTTTAAATGAAAATCAGTGACAAATATGTGCTAGTAATATTTGAATTGAGTTTAGTTGACAAACTACATTCTAGTAAAATTCAGAGAATAGTGATTTCTGGCCTCAAACCCAATGCTATGCCATAATTTTGTACTGGTGCAGAAACACAATTGGCAATACATTTGTAAAAAAAGATTTATTTATTTACACATACAAGAAGTGGGGTATAGGTCAGAGGTGTGGGAGCAGAGAGGATTCACCAAGCCATGTGGGTTATCTTCCTGTCTGGGAATTGAACTCATGCTGCATTGGCTGCAGAGTGCTTCATGGCACTGTGCTCTAATCTGATGCACTACCAGGGAGGTCCCTGGAGATACATTTTATTATTGTTGTTGTTATTGTTATTATAGTTTATTTTTACATCATTTTGTGCCTTTTTCCATCTCAGTTGTAATCCCCTGGGCCTTCCCATCACCAAATCACCTGTGTGCTATCACCATAGTCAAATTCACTCCCCCCCCCCATTTTTTATCTCATTCCCTACTCCATCCCTGTAAAATGTCTCTGTTCATTATTATTTTTTATTCCCCCTGGTCCTATATGCTCCTGCTATGAGTGAAACCATCTGGTATTTTTCCTTTTCTTTCTGGCTTATTTCCCCTCCATCTCCATCCATGTTGCTGCAAAAGCCACGAGTACCTTTTTGATTGCTGAATAATATTCCATTGCATGTATGAACCACATCTTTTTAATCCTGTCATCTACTTTTAGGCATTTGGGTTGGTTCCATGTCTTTCCAATTGTAAATAAAGCCGGAATAAACATGGGGGTGCAGGTGTCTTTTTGAATCACTGTTTTTATGTCCTTTGGGTAGATACTTAGGAGTGGGGTTGCTGGGTCATATGGAAGCTTCATATTTAGCAGTTTGAGAAACCTCCAAAAAGTTTTCGATAGTGGTGGTACTAGTTTGGCATTCCCTCCAGCAGTGTAGGAGAGTTCCGTTTTCTCCACATCCTCGCCAACATTTGTTGTTGCTAGTTGTTTTAAGATGTGCCATTCATTCTCACTGGTGTGAGGTGGCATCGCCCTTATTACAAGTGCTGTTGAACATTTTTTTCATATGTTTGTTGGCTGTCTGTATTTCCTCTTTGGAGAAATGTCTTTTTAGCTCTTCTGCACATTTTTTGATGGGGTTGTTTATTTTTGTTGAGTTTTATCAGTTCTTTGTATATCTTTGATCAGTCCTTTACCACTAGTATTGTGTGAGAAAATTTTTTCCCAATCAGTGGGATGTCTGTTTTTTGTAATATCTCTTTTGCTGTACAGAAGCTCTTTAACTTGATATAGTCCCATCTGTTTATCCTTTCCTTCACTATTGTTGCATTGGGTGCTGTAACTTAAAAGATGTTACTGAGGTGTATGTCATGTAGTGTTATGCCTATCTTTGATTCCAGGTATTTTGTGGTATCCATTCTTATGTCTAGGTCTTTAATACACTTCAAGTTGGTTTTTGTGCATGGTGTGAGGTAGTGATCTAGTTTAATTTTTTGCATGTAGCTTCCCAGTTTTCCCAGCACCATTTGTTGAACAAACTTTCTTTGTTCCATTGTATCTTCTTTGCTCCATTGTGAGAGATTACCTGCCCATAAATCTGTGGGTTTATATGTGGGTTTTCTATTCAAATCCACTGGTCTGTGTGTCTGTTCTTATTGGAGTACCATGCAGTTTTGATTATTATGGCTTTATAGTATAACTTGAATTCTGGGATTGTGATGCCTCCATTTTCTTTTTAATCATGAGACTTTTGGCTATTCAAGTTCTTTTGTGGTTCCATATGAATATTTGTTCTATTTGTATCATCAATATTTGTTCTATTTCTTTGAAGAATGTCATTGAGCCTTTTATTGGGATAGTTAAATCTGTATATCACTTTTGGTAGGATGGCCATTTTGATGATGTTAATTTCCCTCATCCATGAGCAGGCGATGTATTTGTGTCTTGTATTTCTTTTAACAATGTTTTATAGTTTTCTTTGTATAGGTTTTTTTTTTTTTAATCTCTTTTGTTAGGCTTATTCACAGGTATTTGATTATTTTTGTTTTAATTGAAAAGGATTTTTTTTACTTCCGCTTCTTCTGATTGGTTGTGTATAGGAAGGCCTCTGACTTTTGTGTGTTGATTTTATATCCTGCTACCTTCCTAAACTGGTGGATTGCTTTGATTAGTTTCTCTATGGAGTTTTTAGGGTTTTCTGTGTAAATTATCATGTCGTCTGCATATAAAGATAGCTTACTTCTTTCCCTGTTTGGATTTCTTGTATATCTTTTTTCCTGTCTTGTTGCTTTGTCTAGAACTTTGAATGTTATGTTGAAGAGCAGTGGTGATAGTGAACACCCTTGTCTTCTCCCTGAGGAGATACATTTTTTAAAGACTTTTTTTTTTTTCAGATTTATTGTATTTTATCTATTCAAGAACTGGGGTATCGGCCAGAGGTTTAGGGTGTGAGGGTGTATGTATGAGAGGTTTCACCAGAGACAGAGTGAGGAGCAGAACAGGTAGATTTACTGAAATACACTGCTGAGGGGAGCAGAGAGCAAGACAGGAGAGATCTGCTGAGCCATCTGGGTCAGCTCCCTGGGTGGAATTGAATTCTGTTCCTGCTGTGGCTGCCAATAGCCTCATAGTGCTGAGACTTAAGCCCTTGCTCAACCAGGGAGGCCCATTATGTAATAATTCTTAAATTAAGATTAGTGTTAATACTGTAAAGTAGAAGGATTATGAGCTCATGCAAGCTAGAGGGAAATTATTGGTTAAACTGCATTTTGAAATAAGTAACTGACCTAATTAGAATAATGAGGTCATTTAATAGCATGGTATGTTAGGTCAGTTTCTTTGACTCTAATAATTGTCTAATCCAAATAGCTGAATTTTAATGTGTAATGAACTCCATTGTACCTTGTGGTATACATGTTTGAATGAGAGTAAAATTGTGGGAATGAGGCCTCTAGATTTCTGCAAGCACTGAGACTTGTGTTAGTCTCAGCAAAATAAACACTTAGAAGATGACTTTTAAAGGAGTATTTTTAGCTAATGTTTATGCTTCTCACAAATAGAGTTTGAAACAGCTGAGACTCTTCTAAATTCTGAAGTTCACATGCTTCTGGAACATCGAAAGCAGCAGAATGAGAGTGCAGAAGATGAACAGGAACTTTCTGATGTCTTCATGAAAACATTAAACTATACTGCCCGCTTCAGCCGTTTCAAAAACAGAGAGACCATTGCCAGTGTTCGTAGGTGGGTGCTGAAAAGAAAGGTGTTTTTGTTTTTGTTTTTAATTCAAAAGGGGAGCAAAGTAAGAATGCTTGCATGGACACGAGGAGGCGGAAAGAGTTGCCGGTTAGTTAAAAGAGAAGCCTGCATAACCACAGGGTAGTTTTGGGAGGACATTCTGCTACTTTGGAAATGGAGAAGCTTGGTAAAAAGAAATACCTGCATATTCACAGGCAGGCAGGAGAGTTATTGCTAAAAAGTAAGTTTTTATTAACCCAAACTATTGGACACCTGCAGGTAAAAAGCTATTTTCTCCTTTTCCACTCTCAACTCCCTTTCTCATGGCCATCATCTGTGGGTTTACTGTAAGTAGATAATCTTGTTCAGAATCTTAAAAATTGCTAATAATCTTTGGCCACCTCCTCTATAACCCAAATCCCAGTTATGATCCTCCCTCTCTCCCCAAAAATAACTGGTATTAACAGTTTGTAAACCTGTGAAGTTCTCATTATTATTAAGATTTATTTGTATTTATTATTAATGCATATAAGAACTGGAGTGTAGGCCAAAGATAAGAGGGTGAGAGGATTCACCAGATAGAGTCGGGAGAAGAACAGGAGGATCTACTGAAATACAATGCTGAGGGAGCAGCAGATAAGACAGGAAAGGTCTGCCGAGCCATGTGGGTTAGCTCCCTGGCCAGGGATTGAACTCATGCCACAGCGGTTGTTGATAGCTTGATAGCACTGGGACTTTAACCCCTGTACCACCAGGGAGGTTTGAAGTTCTGCCTTTTAAATAAAGGTGGCTTATTTATTATTCATTTGAAATGTCTTGGCTATCTGTAATCCTAGGAACATTCTTTCTCAATCTTTGTTTACCTTTCAAAAGTTGGCCATCTTTGAACCTTTTTTGTAAAGGCATTGCTTCTTAGATTAGGTTGACTGTACTCTGGGAAACAGTGGTGTGCCAGAGCACATAGAAGAGAACAGAAAAAGGAGCACATCTTCTTAAAGTATACATTTTACTTAATAGTAGGTCACTTAACACATTTGTGCTTAAATGTGTTAAATCAAGCAGATACCAGCATATCCTGGAATAAAACAACATACATGAATTCTTGAATAAAATCATGAGGCTTCATACCTTGCAGAGTCATTTGAACCTCTGTCCCCAGGTTGCATGAGGGTACTTGCTTCCTCTACATTTGTGAAAATATCTGAGAAAAAATGTCTGAAGAAAAAGCAATGGGCAAGAAGAATATGTATATTTTTACCACTGTTTATGATTGTCAAAGGTAAAACAAACAAAAACCTTAAATAGTCAACAACAGTAGCTAAATAAATTGTTGTAAATCCATTTGATGGGTACTATATTGTTAATAAATTATGGTTGAAAATAAAAGTTGCTTACATATGTTTGGTATGAAGAACATGAAGGTGAAGTATAACCTTTTCTTAAAAATTGTAGGTATATTCGGGCCTCTCTAGTGGCACAGGTATCACAGTGTTGTCAAGGTATCACAAGCCACTGCTGCCTGTGTTCAATCCCTGGGCAGCAAGCTAACCCACATGTTGCATCAGACCTTTCCTGTCTTGCCCACTGCTCCTCTCAGCAGTGTATTTTCATTAGAGCCATATAGTCTGCTCTCTACTCTGTCTCTGGTGAATCTCTCACCTATTGCACCTCTGAACCACTCCCCAGTTCTTGTATGCATAATAAATAAAAATTAATCTTTTTAAAGAAGTGTAGGTATATACTTGGAGGCAAGGTTATAAGGATATGTGAGGGCTTACTTACAAAACTTAAATTTGTGAGAATTGTCAAAACCTTTCAGAAATTAAGAGAAATTTGCCCTATAAGATGTTAAAATACACTGAAAGTGACAATAATTAAAATCATGACCTTTTGACATGACAATAGATTATTGGAATACAGTAGAAGATTCAGGAAGATTCAAATATTAATCTGTTACATATTTTGTGAGCCCAGTACAGGATAAAAGTGACACAAAGGGAAATATTTTAATATAAAATTTGAATTCCTTGTCTTTTATAAAAATAAGTTCCTAAGAAATTGAGATTTTAAAATATCATAAAAGTGCCATGTAATATGAGGGCCTGTATATATTTATTATCCTGAGTGTATTTGGCAGGTCAAATGTGGGGAAACTTTAAGCTTTGTGAGAACAACGATTTTGACATATTTATCATGGTCAGTCTTACGTTGATGAAAGTAAATGAGTCTATGTAATCATCTTTAAGCTGCTTCTGGGCCTCCCTGGTGGTGTAGGGGTTTGTGCTATCATCGATCCCCAGCCAAGGAGGTGACCCATATGGTGCAGCAGACCTCTCCTGTCTTGTCCTTTGCTCCCCTCTGTGTATTTCAGTAGCCTGTTCTGCTTCCCACTCAGTTTCTGGTGATTCCTCTCATTTACCCCCTGCCCCCAACCTCCGGCCTGCACCCAGTTCTTCTATGCAAAAATAAATAAATTCTTTTGTAAATAAATGAAATAAACTTCCTTTTATCAAGTAAAATGTTATGTGTAAAATGTAATGATGAATAAACTGGAAATGAATTGATACCCTTAATTTTTTTTTT